CACACACACACACACACGCCCTCACACACACACACACACACACACACACACACACACACACACACACACACACACACACAACGACGCACGTCGTTTCGTCATCGTCGCCTCAGAGAAGTCACAAAACTCGCAGAATATTTACGGCGCTTGTCAATTGGAATTTATTCCTATCGTTCTACCACCACGGGCGATGTGGAAGTAAAGTCTGCATTGCAACTGGATGGGAAACCCCCCCACGCACGCTCGCTGACTTTGCAGGAGTCGCCCGTCAAATGAAAGGATGGAGTTGTGGTGCGGCTGAAGGGAGCCGCTGTCTCTGAGGGAAGAATGCACTCCGTAAGACAACTTTGCTTACTTTCCGTGCCGTAAAGACGCATCGAGCCATGGGTTGAAAGAGGCACGGTGCACGCTGCGTGGGGATCTTCAGTGTGGGCGGGAGTTATGTAATGATTGACACTGCCTGAAAATCAGTGGGAGATCAGAAATACAGCCCTTTTTTATCCCGTCTTTGTCTAAAATGGTAGGTGATGGATTATAAACTGGTACTCATCGAGATCTATTGCATCATTAACGGTTTGTCAGCATCCTTCAGACCATTTTAGGTGTTCATCATGATGGCCCAAACTCTGAAGGCATTCCATGCTGGTTTGGAAAACTCTTCGAAAATGGCAGCAGATGATCAGACAATCAACAATTTATCCCTCTCATTTGTCAGTGTTCTTCTCCGCATGGCGAAACCCCAAAGCACTTCGAAGATGTTCTAGTGCTCATGCTAGCCCTCCCATTTGACGACATGTAGTCAACCCGACAATCACCTCTGAGGCTTTTTGTTTTTCCGCATTCGAAGCTAATAGTTCATCTCCTCCAGAGTTTCCGTCGTGTCCTCCCTCCCCCCCCACTCATCAGGGCTGGTGGGGGGGGCGGATCTGGGCTTCCGCCATGGAGCCCAGCCCGGAAAGCCCCAACCGGGCGGTGGAATACCTCCTGGAGCTCAACAACATCATCGAGAGCCAGGCCAAGCTCCTGGAAACCCAACGGAGGCGCATTGAGGAGCTGGAAGGCCAGCTGGACCGCGTCAGCCAGGAGAATCAAGACCTGAGGCAGGATCGCAGCCCTCGGACCCCTGGCTCCAACACCCCGGAGCAGAACCATGATCACGGCCAGCCTCTGTCGCTCCCCACCCATCACGGCGGCGGTGGGAACGGCAGCGCGCCCTTGCCCCAGACCAAAGGTGGATCTGCGACGGCGCCGGGGGCCGGCAGGGACAGGAGGACCCACACTCGGCTGACCCGAGGTCTCTCCTGTGGCTCGTCTACCACCGAGAGAGACCGGCTCGAACGCACCGACAGCACAGACACCAACACCAGCGCCACCATTCGCAGAAAGTAAGTTGAATCAACTTCAGAGATTCGTGTCTTGCTGATCCGGTTTGCTTAACTCTTACTTCCGGATCATTTTCCTTGCATATGTGAGATGGTCCAGGTCATCTTTCTTCTTTAATTATTTCATGGCACTTTAAAGAACAACAGGAATCTGCAGGTATCGGCGCAAATGTTGTCGTTACACAGACAGTTTTACGCAACCTCTGTTTAGTACTTACTTTGGGCCTCTATTTTGGACACCAAAACATTATTTTGCTGTTTGAATGGTGCCAGATGGATACACAGGATAGTAGCACCTTATGCAATCTAAAACCCCTGGCAAAAATGATGGAATCGCCAGTCTCAGAGTATGTACACTCAGTTGTTTAATTTTGGAGGAAAAAAAAATAAAAACATGACACAAAACTAAAGTCAATTCGAATTGCAACTTTATGGCTTTCCGAAAAACTCAAAGAAATCAAGAAAACAAACGATGTGGTCGTCAGGAGCATTTACTTATTTAGACCAAGCAGAGGGAAAAACGTATGGAATCAAGAAAAAAACAACAACCAAGTAACTTTTCAAAAAGCACTGGTATTTTGTTGCAACACTTTTCACAGTCGGCAGTCTCAGAGGCATGGACTTAATGAGTGATAAACAGAATTCTTCATCAATCTGCCTCCAATTTTCTCTGATTGCTTTTGCCGGATTAGCTTGACAGGTAGGAGCCTAGTTATGGATCATTTTCTTCAACTTCCACCAAAGATGTTCAATTGGATTGAGATTTGTACCGGTACTCTTTGCAGGCCATGACATTGACCCGTGAAGGAATGTTTTCACAGTTTTTGCTCCATGGCTAGATGCATCATCATCATCATCATCATCTTGAAAAAAAGCATTTCCTCAGCCTGAAACATCCTTTCAATTGACGGAATAAGACAAGCGTCCAAAATGTCAATTTCTGCATTTTTTGAAGATGTTTCCCCAGTGTCGTAACCTGACGTGCAGTGCAATATGGTGTCCATTTTCAGCTTTCATGCTTGATGTTTTCTGTCTGGTCACTTTGATGTCTTCCTTGGTCTGCCAATATGCTTGCCTTTAACAGCCTTTCACTATTGTTTCTACTTGGTCCAGACTTTGGACACAGATGACTGTGAACAACTGACATCTTTTGCGACCTTGTGTGATAATTTACCCGCTTTTAAAAAATGTAGAATGCTCTTCTTTGTTTCGACATCGCTCATGTTGGAGCCATGATTCATGTCAACCCACTTGGTGCAACAGCTCTCCCAGGTGTGATCACTCCTGTTGGACTGCAGACTAATGAACAGGTCTTACCTGATGCAGGTGTTAGTTTTGGGAATGGACATTTACAAGGTGATTACATAATTTTTCCTTACAATGGAGTGATTCTATCATTTATTCACTCTGCTTGGTCTAAGAATGTAGCCTTACGTCCGCATTGTTTCCAGATAGTTGCCATTTGAAATTGCTTTAGTGTTGTGTCATGTCCGCTTTTTTTTTCTACAAATTCTAACTGAATGAACATCCTCTGTGACTGGTGATTCCATCATTATTGCCAGAGTTTGCAATAATGAGTCATTTATGTCCAAAGATGCCAAAATGTAACGTGCTTGTTTTGCTGCCTTTTGTCTTTCACCTTATATTGCATGAAATCAAAAAACTGCATCAATGTCAAATTTCTTGCTGACCTTTGTTATGTGTAAAACTCCTCCTTTCCAGGTGCTTTTTTTAACCTTTTGGGTCTCACGTTTGATGGGCTGTTAAAATTATCATATTTGAGAAGATATATTCTGACTGTGTTAAATTGTTGTTGTTTTTTTTTTTCAATCAACCTTTGCTGTCAAACTGTGAGCTCTTGAAGCTTGAGATATATTTCTTCGACTCAAGGCTGCCCTTAAGTTAGAGTGCGGCAAGTTTTGGCAAACAGCAAGTGCATCTGTCATTGTTATACACACACACACACGCACGCACGCACGCACGCACGCACGCACGCAAACACACACACACACACACACACACACATACACACACACACACACACACACACACACACATTTTCGTTCTGGAAGCATTTAGCTTTGTGAGTGGAGAGCAATTGGTGTACAGGTATTTAAAAAAAAAAAAAAAAAAAAAAGCAAACAGTGAAATGGAAGGTGACGGTCTCCTGTGATAGGACAATCATTTTTGGACTTGAACTGTTTTGCTGAGGTCCCAACGCTCTTTCCAGTCTGTGATTCAGATGCAACCCAATCCCTTATCGAGCTGAGCTGCCTCCTCTCATCCCGGGGGGGATGAGCTATTAGACAGAAGCACATATTAGTTGGGTGGCTATTAAATACTGTGATGCTTCGCCCCTTTACTAATTACTACCTGTGGCTGTTTGTGGAGGAAGTTTCAGGCCCGGTAGAAGCTCCCAGACGCTGTTCCTCGGGCAGAGCTCGGTCACAAAAGCCTTTTCATTGGCAGCTGATCAGAACGCAACACGAGTGTGTGTTGTAAAATTAGATGGAGGAAACAGGAAAGGGTTATGATCTTCCGTAGTGTGCATAAAAGAGAAAAGGTGTCACGCACACTGACTTGCCATCTGTCAACAGGGTGTGGAGGGAGCCAACGAGGGCAGTGCAAAGGGATCTTCTTGAAACTGCTCTGTCGGTCTTCTAAGGCAGAACGAATCACAATGTTTAAGACTTTCCCCAGAGGGAGCAAAAGTACCCACAGTCTCATCAGTAAAAGTACAGATATGTGTTTAAAAACATATATAGGAAGTTAAGGTAAAAAAACAAAAAAACAAAAGTACAACACTTTGCTTAATAATTTGTCTTTGCCTCACCAGTTTTGTTCCCGAATTTATGTTCCTTCCCCAAGATCTCAATCAGTCAATCAAAATCTCAATTTCTCATTTCCGTTACATTTTTCAAATCATTCAAATTTGGAAAGTTTTTTTTTTCACAAGGAGCGGCATGGCTAAGTGATAGAGTGGACGTGTCCCAACCCGGGAGGTTGGTGGTTTGATCCCTGACCATTGCCACTATATTGAAGTGTCCTTGAGCAAGATACTGAACCCCAGTTGCTGCTGATGCTGCGTCATCAGTAGGTGAATGAGGTAACAGTGTAATGTTCTTTGAGTACCCGAGGTAGAAAAAGTGCAACGGAAGTGACACCCCATTTCCCATTGACAGCATTCTTCTGTGGTGTGTCAAATTTACACGATTCCCCCCCCCCCCACTTTACTTAAGGTACAGTAAAAATACTCTGGTTTCCTTAAATCTGACCACGATCTTTCTCATTCCTGCAACATGTAGCCAGATTAACCTGGTGAAAATACACTTCAATAAAAAATTGTTCTAAACATCCCTTTGGGATTTTTTGTGTCAATTTTAACATAGTGTGGCACCAGTAAATTTGGTGGGCCCATTTATTGTGAGTAAACTCAGAAAAGATACATTTAAAAAAAAAAAAAAAAAAACAGCCAAGCTTGAAAAGCCTAACGTTATGGTTTGGAGTGGCCATTTTCGAATCATTTCATCCATTTCCAGGAGTCCTTCCAAATGAACTCGTCCGATTGTTACCAAGTTTGAACGATTTCTACTTGTACTTGACAGATGGTAAATTGCATCTTTGCCATTGTGTGTGCACTTGCAGCTCTAATGACTTTTTATTCCTCCAGCTGGAGTGCTCATGTCTGCCCCTTTGCTCTCTGCAACTCGCGTCCCCCAGAATTCATCATATGTGGCCTTTTGATTTTGTGTGTGTGTGTGCGTGTGTGTGTGTGTGTGTGTGTGTGTGTGTGCGTTTGTGTGCCGCAGCTGCACTTTGCCAAACAAAGTGTGCGCTCCGGTGTCCCAGCGGGTCTGTTTTAAACAGCTGTCCTTAGCCAGCCTCTTTGCTCGTGTCCTGCTAATAGCGCTGTGAACAATGCGAGGCCTTGAGCTGACGTGATGTCCCAAAGCACCTCCGCCAAGAAGCAGCGATGTGGATTTTTTTTTTTTTTTCCTTTTGGTTAATTTTAGGAGAGGGCACGCGGGTGCATTTCAAATGAGCCAGTGAAACTGCCGCTTGATATAATGTTGCTGCTGTGAGCCCAAAATGTGTTGAAAGGGGGCGAAGACACACACTGAGTGCGTGAGACTGTAATTAGTGCAAGTCCAGTAAAATGACTGCTAGCTGAAGTAACTACTGCGCACGTGCGGGTGAACTTTTTGAGCCTTCAGTTTCATTCTAATCAGAATACAAGACTTCATGTAAACCTAGCTGTTGAGTTGTTCAGAATCCCACTCGAGTTCAAGGTCGTCTTTGCCTGATCAAATTGCAGTCGGGCATTTCCTGCCATGTAACAAAGCGGCATGCAGAATAACGTGTCCATTCCTCTGAGCTCATCAGTATAGCACTAATATGTCATTAGGAAGTTTGCCTCTTTTGAATACACTCATGAATGATTACATCTTAAAATGCATTTGACAAATGGAATACTGATGCACCACAGAGGCTACTTTCACACGGAACAATATCATGTGTTATCCAGGTTTTTGTGTTAAATCATTCATATTCCAAACACTAATGTGATTTATAATGTAAATAGAATGTGCCTGTGAAGTGAAACACGTGCGCAAAAAAATGTGACGTGCAACGCATTTATGCAGATAAATATGGCCGCTCGCTCGTGTATTTTTCACTACTGAAGCGTTCGTGACAATATCAAGGATTTTGTGAAACCAGAACCAACATAACATCTTAACCGAAAAATCATCATTCATCTTCCTTTCAGCACTGTTTATTGCTCCTTCGTGCACCATTGCTTTACGTGCCCGTCTTGTTTATCGAACAATTGTCCCCTTTTGATGACTTATAGTTCTGATAAGTGTCTGGTGAGCACCCCACGGCAGTCGCATCGGATACATCTCTGATTTAAATCTACATACACATGGATCATATTTTTTTGGGGGGGGGGGGGCGAATTGTACTGTTCACTCTGATATGAGGGCGGCAAGGTGGACGACTGG